CTGCCCATCCCAGCTCGGTGGCAAGGGCCTGCTTCTCCTCTGTGCGGAAGGCTGGTCTTGATATCCCTGCTTATGGAAAGCAAGTTTTCACTAGGTAAAATTGGCAACAATTTGGTTCTACCTGGCAGGGCACTGGATACGTCAACTTGCTAGGCCTACCTCCAGTTAGTCAATCAAAAATGGATCCAGGTGCTACTTAGAGGATCTTTTCAGATGTGAGCCAATGGAGACTGACTAGTTAAGGTCAGCTAGGTGGCCTTTACCCCGCCAGTTAAAAGGCCTTCGGGGGGAAGAAGCTTTCCCAGGTGAAGGAATCCTAGTATAGACAGTAGTCCATGTCAAATGTATGAGAAGCCTACCCATCTGAAAGCCAGCAGTCCATTTCAATGCTTCTACTCGATGGTTTCCCACCTGAAGGATACTCCACCTTGTCCATTTGAAAGCCTATTCATCAAAAGGCTCAACTACCTGGACACCCCATCAATCTAAAGGCCTGTCTACCCAAGGTCTAACCACCTGAAGGACTGCCCATCCAAAAGCCTGTCCATCTGAAGTTATAACACCTGAAGGCCTGATCCAGCTCAAGACCCAAGTAACTGAAAGTGAACCTGCCTGGAGGCCTGTTCATCTGAAGGCCTATCCTTTAGAAGGCTCAGCGAGCCGAAGGCCCATCCTCCTGAGGGATCATACATCCAAAGGCCTGTCCCTCTGAAGGCCTACCTACTTTTCAGGTAGTTACCTGAAAGCTATCCACCTAATGCCTCCTCCATCTGCAGACATGACACACGAAGGACCATCCATCTGAAGGCCAGACCACCTAAAGGCTGTTCCACAGACCCTGGACAGTTGGCCAGCCCCACAATTACTGAAATTAGATATCTGGGGACCACTGTGACAATCTGTAAAACCAGCAGCTCGTTACGCGTGTGCTGTGTCCCAACCTGACACTGCAGGGAGCATGGCAGAGGGGCGCTGGCTGCCACCGCTGGGGGACCATGAGGATTGTAAGAGTGACATCCACACAGCCACCAAATGGCAAGTGACATCACGCCCATCCCGACACAACATGGCTGAGAGACCGCAGAGAAGTACAAGCTGCAAAGGCATCTGTTTGGTGACTCCATTAACATTATGCTAACGTGTGCATAAAGCAAAAGTACACACATGTGGGGTACAAATACGATAAAGCTTCAACGCCTATAGTGAAAGTCTGGAAGAATAACAGATATGTGTGCTAGGCAGCCTCCTCAGCGAAGCCAGTGGAGCAGGGGCTGGGACCAGGAACCCAAACGTACCTTTTCTATAAACCGTCACATAGCTATTACTCGACTCTGTTTTAGGCTTGTGCATGTCTGACCTATGTTTTATAAATAGTCCTTTATATATGTTCAATATTAAGAATTGTAAAGAGTGAAGTTTTCAAAAAGCTTGCAGGTCACTTGTTAGTATTTTTACTGAGAAATACTCAGGGTCCCAGGCAGGGTGTGGTGGGTTCTGACAAGCTGCACAAGGTGGGGAAGTGGCATCAATGTGCGCGTCCCCGACAGTCACGTGCAGGCCTCTGTCCAGAGCCTCTGAATGGAAGGAGGCCCAGAGTCAAGCCGAATCAGCCTGCTGACAGAGGGAGGGCTCAGCGCGCAGCCCACCCCACCTGGGATGGAGGAGTGTGAAGAGCTCTGTTTCACCGGCTCCTCAGGGAAAGGCACATTAGCCTTCAGGAGGACCCTCAGCAAGCTCAGCGGGCCTGTCTGGAGACAAGCCCTGCTGTGTCACTCAAAACCATCTTTGTACACCTAAACTCTAGGGTGGAGGCACCACGGTTCAGCACCTCAGAAACGGAGGCTCAAAAGGTCTCCTCATGCTGAACATGGTCCTCACAAGCCCCAGCCCAAGGGGCTCTCGATCCAGTGGCTGAACACTCCAGGTCTCCTCCTGCTCAGTGTCAAGTCCAGCCTCTCCCTAGATCGCGAAAACAGCCACAGGCAGCACACACGGCTGGCCCACGTGTGAGCAGCCGCTGGGCACCGGCAGCTGTGTGGGGGCCACCCACAGGCTCAGGTCTGCTTTTAAGGCACTCGGCAACCACTCGTGACAGAAAGCGACCCTGAACATGTACAGCAGACTGCACTATGGCTTTTAATACTCCCCACGTCCCTGAGGAGAACTTGGCAGTCTGAAATGACAGAATCAAGCCAAGTCACGTGACGCCCCTCGCACTGCCAGTATGCATATCCTTCCCAAGCCCCAGGTGAAGACAAAACCAGGGTGCCAGATCAACTCCAGGACAAAGGGCGGACTGGAAATCAAGTGAGGGACACTAACCTGCTCCTACCAGAGGTGGCAGGCTTCTCCACAGAGCTGTTCATGAGAATCCCAGATAGGCAACTAGGACGTCATCATGGGGCCCTGGACCCTCACCAACTCTCCCTCTCTCTTGCCCACCCTTCCTCCCCTCCTTCCCCTGACCCCACACTCCCTCTCTCCTACCCTCCCTCCTGCCCTCCCCTCCTTCCCCTGACCCCACACTCCCTCCCTCCTGCCCTCCCCTCCTTCCCCTGACCCCACACTCCCTCTCTCCTGCCCTCCCTCCTGCCCTCCCCTCCTTCCCCTGACCCCACACTCCCTCCCTCCTGCCCTCCCTCCTGCCCTCCCCTCCTTCCCCTGACCCCACACTCCCTCTCTCCTGCCCTCCCCTCCTTCCCCTGACCCCACACTCCCTCCCTCCTGCCCTCCCTCCTGCCCTCCCCTCCTTCCCCTGACCCCACACTCCCTCTCTCCTGCCCTCCCTCCTGCCCTCCCCTCCTTCCCCTGACCCCACACTCCCTCTCTCCTGCCCTCCCTCCTGCCCTCCCCTCCTTCCCCTGACCCCACACTCCCTCTCTCCTGCCCTCCCCTCCTTCCCCTGACCCCACACTCCCTCTCTCCTGCCCTCCCTCCTTCCCCTGACCCCACACTCCCTCTCTCCTGCCCTCCCTCCTGCCCTCCCCTCCTTCCCCTGACCCCACACTCCCTCTCTTCTGCCCTCCCTCCTGCCCTCCCCTCCTTCCCCTGACCCCACACTCCCTCTCTCCTGCCCTCCCTCTTGCCCTCCCCTCCTTCCCCTGACCCCACACTCCCTCTCTCCTGCCCTCCCCTCCTTCCCCTGACCCCACACTCCCTCTCTCCTGCCCTCCCTCTTGCCCTCCCCTCCTTCCCCTGACCCCACACTCCCTCTCTCCTGCCCTCCCTCTTGCCCTCCCCTCCTTCCCCTGACCCCACACTCCCTCTCTCCTGCCCTCCCTCCTGCCCTCCCCTCCTTCCCCTGAACCCACACTCCCTCTCTCCTGCCCTCCCTCCTCCCCTCCCCTCCTTCCCCTGACCCCACACTCCCTCCCTCCTGCCCTCCCTCCTGCCCTCCCCTCCTTCCCCTGAACCCACACTCCCTCTCTCCTGCCCTCCCCTCCTTCCCCTGACCCCACACTCCCTCTCTCCTGCCCTCCCTCTTGCCCTCCCCTCCTTCCCCTGACCCCACACTCCCTCTCTCCTGCCCTCCCTCTTGCCCTCCCCTCCTTCCCCTGACCCCACACTCCCTCTCTCCTGCCCTCCCCTCCTTCCCCTGACCCCACACTCCCTCTCTCCTGCCCTCCCTCTTGCCCTCCCCTCCTTCCCCTGACCCCACACTCCCTCTCTCCTGCCCTCCCTCTTGCCCTCCCCTCCTTCCCCTGACCCCACACTCCCTCCCTCCTGCCCTCCCTCTTGCCCTCCCCTCCTTCCCCTGACCCCACACTCCCTCTCTCCTGCCCTCCCTCCTGCCGTCCCATCCTTCCCCTGAACCCACACTCCCTCTCTCCTGCCCTCCCTCCTGCCCTCCCCTCCTTCCCCTGACCCCACACTCCCTCCCTCCTGCCCTCCCCTCCTCCCCTCCCCTCCTTCCCCTGACCCCACACTCCCTCTCTCCTGCCCTCCCCTCCTTCCCCTGACCCCACACTCCCTCTCTCCTGCCCTCCCTCTTGCCCTCCCCTCCTTCCCCTGACCCCACACTCCCTCTCTCCTGCCCTCCCTCTTGCCCTCCCCTCCTTCCCCTGACCCCACACTCCCTCTCTCCTGCCCTCCCCTCCTTCCCCTGACCCCACACTCCCTCTCTCCTGCCCTCCCTCTTGCCCTCCCCTCCTTCCCCTGACCCCACACTCCCTCTCTCCTGCCCTCCCTCTTGCCCTCCCCTCCTTCCCCTGACCCCACACTCCCTCCCTCCTGCCCTCCCTCTTGCCCTCCCCTCCTTCCCCTGACCCCACACTCCCTCTCTCCTGCCCTCCCTCCTGCCGTCCCATCCTTCCCCTGAACCCACACTCCCTCTCTCCTGCCCTCCCTCCTGCCCTCCCCTCCTTCCCCTGACCCCACACTCCCTCCCTCCTGCCCTCCCCTCCTCCCCTCCCCTCCTTCCCCTGACCCCACACTCCCTCTCTCCTGCCCTCCCTCCTGCCCTCCCCTCCTTCCCCTGACCCCACACTCCCTCTCTCCTGCCCTCCCCTCCTTCCCCTGACCCCACACTCCCTCTCTCCTGCCCTCCCTCCTGCCCTCCCCTCCTTCCCCTGACCCCACACTCCCTCTCTCCTGCCCTCCCCTCCTTCCCCTGACCCCACACTCCCTCTCTCCTGCCCTCCCTCTTGCCCTCCCCTCCTTCCCCTGACCCCACACTCCCTCTCTCCTGCCCTCCCTCCTGCCCTCCCCTCCTTCCCCTGACCCTACACTCCCTCTCTCCTGCCCTCCCCTCCTTCCCCTGACCCCACACTCCCTCTCTCCTGCCCTCCCTCCTGCCCTCCCCTCCTTCCCCTGACCCTACACTCCCTCTCTCCTGCCCTCCCCTCCTTCCCCTGACCCCACACTCCCTCTCTCCTGCCCTCCCCTCCTTCCCCTGACCCCACACTCCCTCTCTCCTGCCCTCCCTCCTGCCCTCCCCTCCTTCCCCTGACCCCACACTCCCTCCCTCCTGCCCCCCCTCCTTCCCCTGACCCCACACTCACTCTCCTTGCCCTTCTCCTTGTTCTTGAGCTGCTGCAGTTTCTGCTCGCGGTGCTGCTTCTCCAGCTCCTGCTCCTGGCGGTGCCGCTCCAGCTTGCGCTGGTGCTCCAGCAGCTCCTGCTGGTGTTTCATGGCCAGCATCTCCTGCTGCTGCTACAGGTGGAGAAGGACAGACATCAGAGCCTTGGATCCACAACACCAAGGAGCCAGCCAACCCACCGTCCATCCTGGGCCTCTGTAGGCCCACCTGTGCTGGCATGACCCTCATGCCTCACAAAAGTAGCCATAGACAAGGAAGGGCTGCAGAGACTGCTGCACCCTCTACCCTTTAGGTGGGCACCACTAAATCACTGCAAGAGAACAGGCAGGAAGAGTGGGCAACCTTGAAAAGATACTTCTGTAAGAATGTCCCAGTCTAGATCCCTGCTGAACACTTCCTTAGGTGGAACACAGCTGCCTGAAGGCCTGGCAGCTCAGCCCAGGACTCCAGCTGGTGAGGAGGCACATCCACCAAGGGCCTGCAGAGGAGCACGCATGAACTTCTCCCACTTGAGCCATAGGACCCAGGCACCAGAACACATGCACACACCACACACCCTTACCCGGCAGGCTTAACAGGCCCAGGGAGGGCGTCTAGGCACATAAGGAAGGAAGCACAGAAGTGAGTGCCACGCTCAGATTTAAGACAGGAAAAACGACTATGTCCTGACCACGACGAGAAGGCTGCAGGGGGGGAGGACAGGCTGTCGGGGAGGGAGTCCTGGACGAGAAGGCTGCAGGGGAGGACGGGGTGTCGGGGAGTCCTGGACGAGAAGGCTGCAGGGGAGGAGGACGGGGTGTCGGGGAGTCCTGGATGAGAAGGCTGCAGGGGAGGAGGACGGGCTGTCGGGGAGTCCTGGATGAGAAGGCTGCAGGGGGGAGGACGGGGTGTCGGGGAGGGAGTCCTGGATGAGAAGGCTGCAGGGGAGGAGGACGGGCTGTCGGGGAGTCCTGGATGAGAAGGCTGCAGGGGAGGAGGACGGGGTGTCGGGGAGGGAGTCCTGGATGAGAAGGCTGCAGGGGAGGAGGACGGGGTGTCGGGGAGGGAGTCCTGGACGAGAAGGCTGCAGGGGAGGAGGACGGGGTGTCGGGGAGGGAGTCCTGGATGAGAAGGCTGCAGGGAGGAGGACGGGGTGTCGGGGAGTCCTGGACGAGAAGGCTGCAGGGGGGGACGGGGTGTCGGGGAGTCCTGGACGAGAAGGCTGCAGGGGAGGAGGACGGGGTGTCGGGGAGTCCTGGATGAGAAGGCTGCAGGGGAGGAGGACGGGGTGTCGGGGAGTCCTGGATGAGAAGGCTGCAGGGGAGGAGGACGGGCTGTCGGGGAGTCCTGGATGAGAAGGCTGCAGGGGGGAGGACGGGGTGTCGGGGAGGGAGTCCTGGATGAGAAGGCTGCAGGGGAGGAGGACGGGCTGTCGGGGAGTCCTGGATGAGAAGGCTGCAGGGGAGGAGGACGGGGTGTCGGGGAGGGAGTCCTGGATGAGAAGGCTGCAGGGGAGGAGGACGGGCTGTCGGGGAGGGAGTCCTGGATGAGAAGGCTGCAGGGGAGGAGGACGGGGTGTCGGGGAGGGAGTCCTGGATGAGAAGGCTGCAGGGGAGGAGGACGGGCTGTCGGGGAGTCCTGGACGAGAAGGCTGCAGGGGGGGAGGACGGGGTGTCGGGGAGTCCTGGATGAGAAGGCTGCAGGGGAGGAGGACGGGGTGTCGGGGAGTCCTGGATGAGAAGGCTGCAGGGGAGGAGGACGGGGTGTCGGGGAGGGAGTCCTGGATGAGAAGGCTGCAGGGGGGGAGGACGGGGTGTCGGGGAGGGAGTCCTGGATGAGAAGGCTGCAGGGGGGGAGGACGGGGTGTCGGGGAGGGAGTCCTGGATGAGAAGGCTGCAGGGGGGGAGGACGGGGTGTTGGGGAGTCCTGGATGAGAAGGCTGCAGGGGAGGAGGACGGGGTGTCGGGGAGGGAGTCCTGGATGAGAAGGCTGCAGGGGGGGAGGACGGGGTGTCGGGGAGTCCTGGATGAGAAGGCTGCAGGGGGGGAGGACGGGGTGTCGGGGAGTCCTGGATGAGAAGGCTGCAGGGGAGGAGGACGGGGTGTCGGGGAGGGAGTCCTGGACGAGAAGGCTGCAGGGGAGGAGGACGGGGTGTCGGGGAGGGAGTCCTGGATGAGAAGGCTGCAGGGGAGGAGGACGGGGTGTCGGGGAGTCCTGGACGAGAAGGCTGCAGGGGAGGACGGGGTGTCGGGGAGGGAGTCCTGGATGAGAAGGCTGCAGGGGGGGAGGACGGGGTGTCGGGGAGGGAGTCCTGGACGAGAAGGCTGCAGGGGAGGAGGACGGGGTGTCGGGGAGTCCTGGACGAGAAGGCTGCAGGCGGGGAGGACGGGGTGTCGGGGAGGGAGTCCTGGATGAGAAGGCTGCAGGGGAGGACGGGGTGTCGGGGAGGGAGTCCTGGATGAGAAGGCTGCAGGGGGGGAGGACGGGGTGTCGGGGAGTCCTGGACGAGAAGGCTGCAGGGGAGGAGGACGGGGTGTCGGGGAGTCCTGGATGAGAAGGCTGCAGGGGGGGAGGACGGGGTGTCGGGGAGGGAGTCCTGGACGAGAAGGCTGCAGGGGAGGAGGACGGGGTGTCGGGGAGGGAGTCCTGGATGAGAAGGCTGCAGGGGGGGAGGACGGGGTGTTGGGGAGTCCTGGATGAGAAGGCTGCAGGGGAGGAGGACGGGGTGTCGGGGAGGGAGTCCTGGATGAGAAGGCTGCAGGGGGGGAGGACGGGGTGTCGGGGAGTCCTGGATGAGAAGGCTGCAGGGGGGGAGGACGGGGTGTCGGGGAGTCCTGGATGAGAAGGCTGCAGGGGAGGAGGACGGGGTGTCGGGGAGGGAGTCCTGGACGAGAAGGCTGCAGGGGAGGAGGACGGGGTGTCGGGGAGGGAGTCCTGGATGAGAAGGCTGCAGGGGAGGAGGACGGGGTGTCGGGGAGTCCTGGACGAGAAGGCTGCAGGGGAGGACGGGGTGTCGGGGAGGGAGTCCTGGATGAGAAGGCTGCAGGGGGGGAGGACGGGGTGTCGGGGAGGGAGTCCTGGACGAGAAGGCTGCAGGGGAGGAGGACGGGGTGTCGGGGAGGGAGTCCTGGATGAGAAGGCTGCAGGGGGGGAGGACGGGGTGTCGGGGAGTCCTGGACGAGAAGGCTGCAGGGGAGGAGGACGGGGTGTCGGGGAGGGAGTCCTGGATGAGAAGGCTGCAGGGGAGGAGGACGGGGTGTCGGGGAGGGAGTCCTGGATGAGAAGGCTGCAGGGGAGGAGGACGGGGTGTCGGGGAGGGAGTCCTGGACGAGAAGGCTGCAGGGGGGGAGGACGGGGTGTCGGGGAGGGAGTCCTGGATGAGAAGGCTGCAGGGGGGGAGGACGGGGTGTCGGGGAGTCCTGGATGAGAAGGCTGCAGGGGAGGACGGGGTGTCGGGGAGTCCTGGATGAGAAGGCTGCAGGGGAGGAGGACGGGGTGTCGGGGAGTCCTGGACGAGAAGGCTGCAGGGGGGGAGGACGGGGTGTTGGGGAGTCCTGGATGAGAAGGCTGCAGGGGGGGAGGACGGGGTGTCGGGGAGTCCTGGATGAGAAGGCTGCAGGGGGGGAGGACGGGGTGTCGGGGAGTCCTGGATGAGAAGGCTGCAGGGGGGGAGGACGGGGTGTTGGGGAGTCCTGGATGAGAAGGCTGCAGGGGGGGAGGACGGGGTGTCGGGGAGGGAGTCCTGGACGAGAAGGCTGCAGGGGAGGAGGACGGGGTGTCGGGGAGGGAGTCCTGGATGAGAAGGCTGCAGGGGAGGAGGACGGGGTGTCGGGGAGGGAGTCCTGGATGAGAAGGCTGCAGGGGAGGAGGACGGGGTGTCGGGGAGTCCTGGATGAGAAGGCTGCAGGGGAGGACGGGGTGTCGGGGAGGGAGTCCTGGACGAGAAGGCTGCAGGGGAGGACGGGGTGTCGGGGAGGGAGTCCTGGATGAGAAGGCTGCAGGGGGGGAGGACGGGGTGTCGGGGAGGGAGTCCTGGACGAGAAGGCTGCAGGGGAGGAGGACGGGGTGTCGGGGAGGGAGTCCTGGACGAGAAGGCTGCAGGGGAGGAGGACGGGGTGTCGGGGAGGGAGTCCTGGACGAGAAGGCTGCAGGGGGGGAGGACGGGGTGTCGGGGAGTCCTGGACGAGAAGGCTGCAGGGGAGGAGGACAGGCTGTCGGGGAGGGAGTCCTGGATGAGAAGGCTGCAGGGGAGGAGGACAGGCTGTCGGGGAGGGAGTCCTGGATGAGAAGGCTGCAGGGGAGGAGGACAGGCTGTCGGGGAGGGAGTCCTGGATGAGAAGGCTGCAGGGGAGGAGGACGGGGTGTTGGGGAGTCCTGGATGAGAAGGCTGCAGGGGAGGAGGACGGGGTGTCGGGGAGGGAGTCCTGGATGAGAAGGCTGCAGGGGAGGAGGACGGGGTGTCGGGGAGTCCTGGATGAGAAGGCTGCAGGGGAGGAGGACGGGGTGTCGGGGAGTCCTGGATGAGAAGGCTGCAGGGGGGGAGGACGGGGTGTCGGGGAGGGAGTCCTGGACGAGAAGGCTGCAGGGGAGGAGGACGGGGTGTCGGGGAGGGAGTCCTGGATGAGAAGGCTGCAGGGGGGGAGGACGGGGTGTCGGGGAGTCCTGGATGAGAAGGCTGCAGGGGGGGAGGACGGGGTGTCGGGGAGTCCTGGATGAGAAGGCTGCAGGGGGGGAGGACGGGGTGTCGGGGAGTCCTGGATGAGAAGGCTGCAGGGGGGGAGGACGGGGTGTCGGGGAGTCCTGGATGAGAAGGCTGCAGGGGGGGAGGACGGGGTGTTGGGGAGTCCTGGATGAGAAGGCTGCAGGGGGGGAGGACGGGGTGTCGGGGAGGGAGTCCTGGATGAGAAGGCTGCAGGGGAGGAGGACGGGGTGTCGGGGAGGGAGTCCTGGATGAGAAGGCTGCAGGGGGGGAGGACGGGGTGTCGGGGAGGGAGTCCTGGACGAGAAGGCTGCAGGGGAGGAGGACGGGGTGTCGGGGAGGGAGTCCTGGACGAGAAGGCTGCAGGGGGGGAGGACGGGGTGTCGGGGAGTCCTGGACGAGAAGGCTGCAGGGGGGGAGGACGGGGTGTCGGGG